AATGGGCGAGTTCTATTTTTATGCTTTGGCTTATGTTGTCAGCAAAAAATAAAATTGGGATAGAGCCATATGGACTTCCAAACAGAGTTTAATACTTCATCCAGAAGATGAAGACTCCACAAATAATGTTAAGAAACCAAGACTTCAATGATGACTATGTCATAATTAGCAAGTCGGGGAAGATCAATCTATCGGCTTACCATAAAATCAGAAATAAATCGTTTTTATTTTAAAAAGTCAGATGAAAAAATAGGATAAAAAATACGGATCGGCAAAAATTCTTTTTGTAAAAATATCACAAATATATTGGACTAGGCTCAAAAAATCGGAGTGAAAAAAACAGACATGTTTAAAATAAAATTAAGTACAAATTAAAATAAAATTAAGTTGAAATAAAATAATAAGCTGTTGATAAATATACGATATGAATTTTCTTATTAAATGCTTTAACAAACATCACACATACTTAGTACATAACGCAAAAAAAAAAAGGACAATGTGAGATAAGTAGAATTGAGTTTGGTATATTCATTTCTCTCTCCGTATGGTGACCGTCCCTTTATAACTATAGTTAAGCAATGAGAAGATGTACACCGTTTTTGTTTGACGAGCAACAAACGCAATAGACCAACAAGAAAACAAAATCTTCCATAAAGAAACGTAGAGAGAGAGAGAGAGAGAGCATATATAGGCACAGAGACACAAGATGGACATAAAATATCATAGAAGATGAAGAACACGGTGGACATAAACATAAACCCTAATCCAAGATTTCCAATCATGAATTAGGTTTGGGGATTGAGCTCTAATCTGGGTTTTTTTTTTTTTAAGCTTTTGTTTTAGGGATTTACTAATCCAAGATTTCCAGTTATGAATTTGGCTTGGGGATTGAGCTTTAATCTTGGTTTTTTTTTTTTTTTTTTTTTTTAAGCTTAAGTTTTAGGGTTTAAAGATGTTGTACAAATTGTGATAATTGGGTCTTTGAGCCCTAATTTGGATGGATTTTTTGGTGGAATTTTGCCAAGTCAAAATTTGGGGATTTTTTATTCTATGGTTTTTATGGTATTTTATTCTAATTTGATTCAATGAATTTGAGCATAAACCCTAAGATAATAAACCCTAACAATATACTTGGGGATAAAAATATATTTTTTAGAGAAGTTTTTTTTTTTTTTTGGAAATAATGTACTTTTTAGAAAGCATGGAAATGACAATTACATAAAATAGGAAAAAAAGTTTTCATCCTTTAAAAGAAAAAAAATACAGATAAAAAAAGCAAAGTTTTTTTGGACCGATTTTTTCATAAAGATCAATAAGGAACATTTTAAATGTTTATGTGAAAGAAACGCGTATTTTTGCCGATCTTTTCAAAAATTCGCAGTTTTAAATTTTTTTTAAAAAACTCCGTATTTTTTAAAAAGTCGCGTTTTAAATGCCAACTTGTTAACTATGGGCTATATATACCTTTCAGAGACACCTCAATTCAGTGTGGAAAAACTCGGGTGGGGCAAGCCAACTTGGATTTGTTCGAGTAACTCACTCGCCGCAATGGCAAGTTTGAGTATCCCCGAGTTGAGTGGTCCGACCTGGGGAACTTAAAAGAAAATAAAAAATATATAAAAATTAAAAAATAAGAAACTTATTTGTAATATTTTTTTAAATTTTTTTTCATTGGAAAGTGCTTTAGCCATGAGTATTTATTTTTATATTTTTTTTTATATTATTTCTAAAGTACCCCCATCTTGATTTTTTCGAAATCCAATTTTCATTACTTTTTTTAACCTCATTTAAATGTATTTTGTTTAATTTTACTTCAAACATATTTTTCCTATTTTAAATTTTTTATATTTTGTAAAACGTTTTTGGTTTGAATGGTCCAAGCTCGACTCGGGCCTTGTAACTTTGACTCGGCTCGAGTTACTCATCTTGGCCATGGACCGAGTCTCGTTCGTGAGTCCTGGTTCTGTACAGAGGCAGAATTATAGGACTTTGAAATAAGTTAGGCCCAATTTGGATATCAAAGAAAAATATATTCATATTGAAAAAAAATACAATTTTTTTCTCCTCAATTGAGAAACATTATCGTTTTATTTATTATTTGAGGAACTTTATCATTTTATTTATTATGTTGGTAGACTGCTTGGATGTCTCTTAAAATATGAGAAAAAAATTTTATTTGCTAGATATATATGTTTGGATGCGTTGCAAGAAATCGATAAGAAATCCTAAACCCAATTTACACCATTCTAGAATTTAATTATATTGATTCTTCTCATTTAATTATATTGATTCCTCTCTCTAGATCTGCAATTTATTCCTATAAATGTAGGAGATATAAAAGATCTGCAGTTTATTCCTATAAATGTAGCAGACAGAGAGAATGTGAAGAAACCAGAAAGCAGGAGCAGGGAGAAGTTAAATATTATTATTAGAGGGAGAGCAGGGAAAAGAGGTTTCCTGTGCAAATGTTTTGATGTTTCGATAAAAGAGGTTTGCTCCTCAAATATTTTGAGGTTGTAAAACATCTCCCTCTGCATGAAAACCACTCCATTTAATTTAGATAGAGCTCTGCAAACTCAGAAAACCACTCCATTAAATTTAGATAGAGAATCATGGTTCTTAGATATCTCTAGCAAAAGGCTCGATTAGAATCGTTATCCAGCAACCCATCGAAATGCTAGGGAGAGTTATGTGAAATTAAGAGCTTTTTAGAGAGAGAAAGATGGAAAGGTTCACTTTTTAGAGAGAGAAACATTCGATGGGATTTGTAGTTGAAGATGAGATTTTCTAGAGAGAAAGATGGAAACTTTCATTTTTTCTTGAGAGAGAAAAATTTGATGGGATCTGTAGTTGAAGATGAGAGAAGGAAATATATGTGCTCAGAGCGGGAAGGTTTGGCGGAAGGGCAAGAGGGAAGCAAAACTTTGGGGAAAAACGTAGAGAGGGAAGTGAAAAAAAATTGCGAGCGAAAATTTTTTTAGGCACATTTGGCTTAGCGTCATAATCTATTTTGTTGAGAAATAAATTCTGATGGAGTTATCCAAAAGATACCGGTGCCCATCTCAATCCTTTTTTTATTGTCATCGGAAAATATTGCAATTTTGGGTACATCCAAACTTAACCATAACTATGCATTAAGAACAACGTAGTATTAGTATTAGTAATATTTTGGGTACATCCAAACTCGCCCCACAACTATGCATTAAGAACAACGTAGTATTAGTATTAATATTAGAGTAATGATCTTATAGAATCTTCCCCCCTCTCGATATCTGTAGGACTTCAAAAGATCACTATTAAAGTTGATACGAATATTTAAAAAAATTATCACATGGGTGTGAGACTTGATTTTTTTATAAATCCGTATCAAATTTAATGGTGATCGTTTAGTGTCTTATATAAATGGATGCGTGAAAGTACTGTAAAATCATTTCTCTTAATATTATTATTATTGTGTATTATTATTATTAACGGTGGGTATAGTGGGAATGAAGGATGGGATGTCATGACATCGAGTTTATTATTTTAAAATTAAATATACATAAATTGAGGTCGAGGACACAATGTAGTGCGCTGAGTGGCATTAGTGGGGTTCGTAGACAAGTCCAGTATCCTTAATACACAATTTCCAAGGGTGTGATTCTCCCAAGTGTTAGGTCGTAGACTAGTCTACTGTCCTTAGCACACAGTTTCCAAGGGTGTGATGTTTCCCACAACAATTTAATTCCGTCTCAATCAAGAGTCATGTCATACAGCGAGGGTGCGATTTGCATAGAGCCGAGGGCTCTAAACAATCAAAGTAAGGCTCTTCAAATAGAAATGAGGATCGTGGTTTTATTAAAAAAAATTGTGATAGTTTTATTTCATCACTAATTATAAAATTTAAAGCTTAAAAAATAATATAGATCAAGCGTATTTATAAAAACTTAAAAAACTTGAAAATTGATGGTAAAAAAATGCATTACAAAATATGTTATTTCCATAATTTGAAATCTATTTTTTTTTTCATATGTTCATGTATTTTTAGGTCGAGATGATCAATTTGAATATATTTGAACATCAAAACAACCTCTTCTCGAGAAATTTTTGAGGTGCAGCCTAATTTGATTGTTTAGAGCGTCGTCACTTATATAAACTTGTTTTCCTTTGAATACTACTAATTATATTAAATACCTGGCTGCTTCGAGCAAGGACCACAAACACAATGAAAGGATAGATTCCCAGCCCTAAGGAAACCAGCAAAACGTACAATCCAATTAATCTCTATTTATTTATCTTAGTTAATAGATAGCATGGTATCATAAGTCAATAAGGAGGAAAGAGAAGAACAAATGATATATAAAAGAGGACCACATATGTGATGAGCATCCTTCAAGTGTTTTGAGTGTGAGAGATGGAATTGGAATTGGAATGGGCATGGGCGTGCGTATTTGCAGGGGTCCTTTGCATCATGATGGGGCATCTGATAAAGTCTGTTTGGTTGGAGCCAAAGAGGATTACAGAGTATTTTAGGGCTCAAGGTTTCGAAGGCCCTCCTTACAAGATTCTTGGCATCGGCAATGGCGTCGAGATCGCCAGGCTCATGAATGAAGCGCGATCCGTGGCGTTGCCTCTAGACAACAACATTATGCCTGTTGCTCTTCCTTTCTATCATCTCTGGTCAAAACTATATGGTAAGCGTTCGAATTTGAGATGTAGCATTGCTAAATGTCACTTATTAACCACTGCAAATATACTTATTTAGGGGGATTTGTTTGACACAAAAATTGCAAATGTCCTCTGCTAATCCCGGCAATGAATGTAAAAAAAGAAAATTAACTTTTAATTTAACCCTAGATATTATGACACTCGTAACTATGAGTCTTCCTACTTCCTAGTGACTTAGGCTATAGCTAAGGGTGGGGGCCGGCCTGCCGTAGCCAGCCCGGCCCCTGGCTTTGGCCTAGATCTAATCCCCATAAGGCCGGCCCAGGCCCAATCCTGGCATGGCCAGAACTGAATAAAGCCTAAAACTATAGAGGAAGTAACAAAATTACAAAAAAAAAAAGAAAAAAAGAGGGCCCTACCAGCATTGGCCTCAGCCTTGCCCTCGGGCTGCAATTTGTAACCCAGGCCCCACTTTTTTTAGGCCGGGCCGGGCCGGGCCACCCAGCCCATTGCCAGTCCAAACTGTAGTATATTTTCCCATGTGAATTAACAGAAGGGTGCGGTTTACATAGAGCCGAGGCCCTAAACAATCAAAGTAGAGCCCACCTTTAAATGGTGTCGAGAATTGTGGTTTTAATATTGAAAATATTTGTGATAGCTTTAAAATATATTTTCATTCCTAATTATAAAATTTAAAGCTTCAAAAATAATGTAGATCAAGCAGATTTATGAAAATCTTGAAAATTGACGGTCCAAAAATACATTATAGGATCACTATTTTCAAAACTTGAAATCCAATTTTTTTCTCATGCCCATGCATCTTGAAGTCGAGATGATCAATTTGAAGATATTTGAACATCAACACAACCTCTTCTTGTGAATTTTTTGATGTAGGCTCTGATTAGATTGTTTAGAAGATCACTATTTTCAAAACTTGAAATCTATTTTTTTCTCATGTCCACGCATTTTGATGTCGAGATGATCGATTTGAAGACATTTGGATATCAACACGACCTCTTCTAATGAATTTTTTGAGGTCGGCTTTGATTTGATTGTTTAGAACCTTGGCTCTATATAAACTTTTCCCTTAAGGAAGGATGCAGTTTGCATAGAGCCGAGGCTCTAAACAATCACAATAGAGCTTACCTTTGGTATCGGGAATTGTGGTTTTAACATTGAAAATATTTATGATAGCTTTAAAATATATTTTTATCGCTAATTATATTTTGAGCAAACTTTACGTATTATAAATTTTGGTGGTGTATATAGGGAGTAGCTTTCTATGCTGGCTTGGGAGCAAACCGGTGTGGTGCACAGATGATCCAATAGCGGTCAAGGAGGTTTTGATGAACAAGAATGGTGTGATAGAGACCACCAATCTCAACCCTTGGATTAGGGAGGCGTTAGGAAGAGGAATCTTGATGTTGAACGGCTCGGATTGGGAGAGACATAGAAGAATAGTTATCCCTGCATTTGGAGTCGACAATCTCAAGGTATGGATTTAGCTCTAAGTGATATGGTTAGCTAAAAGTTTGTGTGTTCCTGCACGAGCACATAATATGGATTTCCTTCCTCAAAACTTTTTCTACGACCATCAGGGGACCAAATTTCGGAAGTAACCTCTTCATCTTGGCACCCCAACAACACCACGCTCACCCCTCCACCACCCCACCACCCCCCCCCCCCCCGCCCTTTCAAAAAAAAACAAAAAGGAAAAAAGAAAAGAAAGTGAGGAGAAATAGATATACAAGTGTTTCATAAAAATGACTCCCTAATAATAAATAAAAAGACTCTAATTTTTTGATAGGCGTATTAATCTCAAAAACTCAAATTTTATCTTTTTTTTTTCTTCTTTTTTTAAACGCTCAGTTGGTGATTCTAAAGTAGATTCAATATTAGATATAAACGCTCATTTGGTGATTCTAAAGTATATTTAATATTAGATATAAACGCTCATTTGGTGATTCTAAAGTAGATTTAATATTAGATATAAACGCTCATTTGGTGATTCTAAAGTAGATTTAATATTAGATAAGGTGTGAACATTTAACAATTACGGTAAGGTGCACCTCAAATTTTCATTATAAGATGCATTTTAGGTGCCACGCTCTTATGATGGCCTTAAAATGTATTTTTCACCCTTACTATTAAATTGAAAGTTCCAAAAAATGGTGCAGACCTAACAAATCTATGAACACTTGAAAATCTTGATAATGGACGGTCTAGATAACATGTTACAAGATGTACTATTTTTAATTGTTGAAATTCATATTTTCTTTCATGCTCATATATATCCAAGTGGAGAGGATCAATTCTAGAGACAAAACAGCATATTCCAATGAGTATTTAGGTGCACCTTACTTATAAAGTTTAAGGTTGATACCTTATATAAACTTTTCCCTTCTATACTTACATGAACTTTTCCCTTCTATATTTGATATATAAGGAGTCCTTCTGGTAGGTCTTTTAAGAGAGAAATTAAATGTATAAGGTGCTCCCATGGGAGCACGATTTACAACTTGCGTATGAATTCGTTGCTCTAAAAGTACTCTTGCTTTTCATTTCCCACATTTTAAAGTTTCTTTTTAACATCTAGGCAAGGTTTAGTAAAGGGTGCATATCAGGGAAGGGATGCCACTAAAAGAAGACTAGTTAGAACTTGAAGTTTGGAACCAGCTACAAATTTCTTTTTTAAGGTTTGGAATTTCAAGTTCCGAACTTTTTTGCTCTTGAAAAAGTACATATTAAAGTTCCAAAAGGATCTCATAATAAAAAACGAAGGACCCCGGATCAAAACATAATATTCCAAAACAAACGTTATTTTGGAATAAAAAATAAAAAAAATCTTGAAAAAAGAGGATATAAGCTTAAAATATAAAATACAGATCCTAAAATACCGGTAGTTAAAGGTGAAGTAGAAATACTGGTTGTTAAATGTTTTGAGAAATGACATAATCCACATAAAATGTCCTATCACCCACCTGAGTTACGAAATCACCCAGTATTAGTTGCACTATAAAAACTAATGAAGTGCCATTTTATTTTCCTAGAAATGTCTATCATCCATCTTACTAATGACAAAAAGCCGCCTTTGCTTAAGAAGTAAATCCAAATTACAGGTGCTTGAAAAACATGGACTCCCAAAATTGAATAGAGGCTTTCCTTGGGGGTGAAATCTAAGTGTTGAAGTCCTCAAAATCCCTTTTTTTTTACTGAAAATAATCATGTAGTGATTCTTGACTGGATCTAAAATATAGAAAATATTCTCACAAGAAGCTCTTTTTACCCACTGTAGTAAGTACATAGTGGGCTCCTACGAGAACTTATACAGCCACTTTTTTGTATTAAAAGGAAGAATATGCAACAAATAAAGGAAAAACTTTATATAAGGTGTCAACGTTATACAATTGAAGTAAGATGCACCTAAAAAGTCCTCTAGAAGAGAGTGTTCTGATGTTGGAAAAGCATATAATTTGGTCATCTCAAACTGCGAGATGTATGGACAAGAAGAAAAAAGTATTTCAAGTTCTTATAAGGTACATCTTATAATAAATTATCTTGATTGTCTATTTTCAAGATTTTTAAGTGTTTATAGATATGCTCAATTTGTATTATTTTTAAAATTATATTATTAGGGATAAAAATAGTTTTTCAAGCATCATATCTCGAGATAAAATTTAAAGGTGTACCTTATTTCTATAGTATAAAGACGGCGATTCATACAAACCTCATCCATAAATATATATTGAGTAGGGAAAAAGAATAATACGATAACAAAGACAAGCCTAACAAGACCCTTAACTCAGAGTTTAGAGGAGAAGCTCACAAACGTCTGTGTAAAGACTAAGACGGATTGCAATGGACCTGGACCCAACCCGGGACCCAAGGTGTAGACCCGATCCAGATCCAGGTATGGGTTCAAAAATTGAACCCGGTGGGTAGGGGTTCAGGTTCAAATATTGGACCGGAACACTATTTGGGTCCGGGTCCAAGTCTGGTTAGTTGTGTAGGATAAGATTTTTACTATTGATAATTTAATTAAAGAGGAACAAAATATTTTCAAACATATGTTTAATGTGTAAAGAGGATGTTGAGTCATGGGCAAATCTTTCGATGCATTGTTCATTTGTCTCTAACATTTGGAGTTGGTTCTTTATGCAATTTGGAGTGAGAATGGCTATTTCTGAGGGTGTGCTTGGTGTGGTAACCCAAATGGCGCTTCCTACCTTACCAAAAGTTGGTTATATAATCTAGAAATTAGTGAGGGGCAATATTGTAAGAGGTGTGGAAGGAGCGCAATAGAAGAACTTTTAGTGGAGATGTCTTATCTTTTGATCGAGTTCTTAATAATATTAATCACTCCCTTTGGAGCTGGTTAGCTGTCACTAAGTAGGGTTGGGGTATTTCAGAAGTGGATGTATTGCTTAACCTTTTCAATCACTATCGATTATGAGTGGTAAAGAATCGGTAAAGAATCGACCGGTAGGCAAATGGATTCTTCCATTGCATGGTTGTTTTAAGCTTAATTTCGATGGGGGTTCTTTTGGTAATCCTAGTATAGGGGGTGTTGTTAGAGATTGGAATGGGAAAGATATTTTCTCGTATGCTAGCCCTATTGGCACGGCTACTGCTAATCATGTTGAATTTGCAGCTCTTCAATGTTTAAAGCTGTTAAAATTAATATTCGTAAAATCAAACTGGAACGGTTAACCAAACATGGGGCTAGAAGCGGTTTAACCGGCCTAACTGATAAACTAGCCAATCCAACAGTTCTAACCAGGCAAATCCCCGGGCGGTCAAAAAATTGTTGGAAAAAATAAAAAAGATACAAAAGAAAATCTATTAAAATATGAAAACCATATAAATAATGATTAAAACAAAACATATTCAAATAAAATTGAAAATTAATGAAAAAATTGGATTTGAAAGATGCCTAGGGGTATTTTTAAAAATTTTCAAAAAAGATGAGAAAATATAAAAATGAGTATTAAAGATCAAAACAATTTCTAATCTTTACCATAATGTAAAGAATATTAATAAAAGGGTACGGTTTGTATAGAGCCTAGGCTCTAAACAATTAAATTAGAGCCTACCTTGAAATAGTGCCGAGAAATGTGGTTTCAACTCTGGAAATCTTTTTGATAGCTTTAAAATATATTTTCATCTTTATTTATAAAATTTAAAGCTTAAAAAATAATGTAGATCAAGATATCTATGAAAACTTGAAAATTTTTAAAATTGACAGTCCAAAAATTCATTACAAAATACACTATTTCCAAAACTTGAAATCCATTTTTTTTATGTCCATGCATCTTGATATTGAGATGATCAAGTTGAAGATATTTGAGCATCAAAACAACCTCTTCTAGTGAAATTTTCTAGGTAGGCTCAAATTTGATTGTTTAGAGCCTCGACTCTATATAAACTTTCCCTTAAAAAAATCTATTACAAATAAAATTCCTTAATTTTGGGATTTTATATATGTATTTTTGAATTTTTTTTTAAATACTGGTCGATAACCAAAACTGCCCAAAATCGGAACTGGTCAGAGGCCGATACCGACTAACCAGGCGGCTACTGGTTAGATCACCCAGATTTTCCAACATGGGTTCAAATCATATAATTTGGGGGTCTTTTGTTATGTGGAAGGTGATTCACTAAATGTGATTAAATGGTGCAACAAGGAGCTTAGAGTTCCCAATTCTTGATTCGGCTTAATCTTTGAGAATCTCATTCCACGATGTTTACAGGAGGTTAACTTTGTAGCTGACTCCCTCGCGAGAACGGGTGTTGTTCTGTCATCGCTTTTGATTTCAAATGATGTAAACTTTTATAAAAAAAAAAATATATGAAATATAGTTAAATACATAAAATTTTAATTTTTTTGTCGGTTCCAATTGGGTCCCGGTCTGGTGAATTTAGGTCTTGCACCCGACCCATTGCCAACCCTAACACATTGTATTGTAGAAGTAAGGTGCACCTTAAAAATCCACTCGAAAAGGTCATTTTGATGTCAAAAATTCTAGAATTGATCAATTCGACCTCGATATGTATGAATATAAAAGAAGAAAATGATTTCAAGTCGTAAAATAGTACATCCGGTAGCATATTATTATCTAGGCCGTCCATTTTCAAAAAAATTACGTGTTTCTAGATTTGTTGATTCTACACTATTTTTAGACATTTAAAATTCATAATTAGCAGTGAAAATAGATTTTTAAGTCATGATAACACCAAAACTACTTCTTTTAGCGAGATCCATAGGTGCATCTTATTTTGATTGTTTAAAGTGGACACCTTATACACATTCAACCCACAATTAATATTACAAAAGTAACGATTTATACAAGACTTTAGCCTTAAATAATCAAAGTAAAGCACACCTCTAAATTGTATCTAATGATGCAGTTTTTGTGTCAAAAACCATTGTGATGGTTTCAAAATCGGTTTTCACATTTAATTATGAAATTTAAAGCTAAACAATAGGTTATAAGATACACTATTTCTAAGATTTAAAATTTTACATTTTGTTCATATCCATACATCTCAAAGTCGAGATAATCAAATTGGTAGTTTACTCCATTTTTTAATGGATTGTTGAGGTGTACCTTACTTGAATTATATGTATATAAACTTTTTCCATTACCCATCATACAAGCCCAACCATCAAACTTGACAAAGGACGGATGGTGTTGGGTCCAACACCCAAAAAAATGTCAAACCTTTTTTAAGGATTTGGAGTAGATTATATACAGGATGTGGTTTGTATCAACTCATGGTTATAAACAATCAAAGTAAAGTGCAACTTCAATAGTGTCAAAAACATGCGGTTTCAGTACTGAAAATATTTGTAACAACCTCAAAATATATTGTCATATCTAGTTATAAAATTTAAAGCTTTAGAAATACTGTAGATCCAGCAGATCTATAAAAACTTGAAAATCTTGAAAACTGACGATCCAAAAATGCATTACAAGATGCACTTTTTTCAAAACTTGAAATCCATTTTTTTTTCATGTCCATACAACTTGATGTCGAGATGATCAATTTGAGGATATCTGGGCATCAAACAACCTTAGTGAAATTTTTGAAGTGTGTCCTAATTTGATCGTTTAGTGCGTGGCACTTACATAAACTTTTTCCTTATAGATAATCTCTTTTCTTTTTTTTGAATTTTAAAAATCTCACTCTTAATAATTGGTACGTGTTTATTTGAACAGTGAGCAAATTGTCTTTTTTCTTTTCTTTTTTTTTCTTTTTAATTTTTTTTTTTTTTTTGCAGGAGATGGTTTCACGTATCAATGAGAGTGCCAGGAACGTGATCCAACGCTGGGCACAAAAGGAAAGCACTTGGGATGAGTTTGAGTTGGATGTATTTAAGGAATTCAAGATTTTTGCTGCAGATATAATCGGCACCACATCATTCGGTAGTGACCCCGGACAGGCGAAGCGAATCATTGAACTTCTTGATGAACAGATTGCCTTAGCTATCGCCGATTATTCTTTTGTCCCTGGCTACAGGTAATTTTAGTTACAAGTAAACCCTGTTTATTCTTTAATTGCCATTTTATTTTTTAATTGTTTTGGTAGATATTTCCAAATATTGATTCACCATTTGTTAAAATCTTAATTAAGAGAAAATCTTGTATTAATCTAAAGATATGTTAAATACAGATCCATAATTTTTTAGTTAAGAGACACTCTTTCATTAATGTCCATTCCAGTTAAATACGCATGCATAGTTACGAATGGATTCCAACTACTGAACTACCTGAGCTTTAGCTACCGGTTTATGTTTCCATTCGCACTAACGCATTCGAAAACCACATTCTAAAAAGGATAAAATCTACTAAAAAAAAAAAAAAAGATTACAACTGCTAAACTACTTAAAAAAGGAAATTACTGATGAAATATTGGAAAGCCATTTGGTTACATCGTAGGTTGACATCAATGATATGTAGGTCCGTTACCAAGTACTAGAGTTATTTGTTCCATTTATACGAATGGTTTAGGCTGCGTTTGATTTCAAGGTGGTTGTCGTCTTAAATTTTAATAATTTTAAGTATTTTAAGTAACCAAATGACAGTTGGATCAATTTCCATTTAACTGCATAAGAGTGATTGATTGTTTTAATCTGAATTGCAATTTGTTGTAGTGTGATGTAGTAGTGAAGGTACTGGTTGTGGTGACGGCGTGATGGTGGTGGTAGCAGTCATAATTTGTGGAGGAGTGGTTGGGAGTGGTACTGCTGGTGGTGGGGGAATGGGGTTATTAGTGGTAGTGGTAGTGGTACTCTAATGCTGGTTGTGACGGGTCAAGAGTGGTGGGGTTCTAGTGGGGAAGCAAGTGGTGATGATGGAAACAAAGAGGTACCTGAAGTAGTGATCATCGACTGGTGGGGAAGTGGTAGAGGCTAGACAGTGGAGATGATGCGGCAGTGGTGGTAGTTGTTATGTTGGAGCTGGTGATTGAGTAGTCGATACTAGGTGGTCGTGGTGGCGGTGGAGGGGGCAGTGGCACTGGTAATGCTTGGGGTTTGAGGAGATCGGATTTTAAAAAACAAACAATCCAAGTAGTAGTTGTTTTTTTTTCTTTTTTTTTTTTCTTTTTTTTTTAAAAAAAATCCACTTTTGATGGCCAATTGTAATTGGAAATCAATTCAAATTCGAAAATCTAACACCCATTTGGCCAAATCGTACTGCTTGAAATGGCAATTTAATCCAAATTGCAATTCAATTTGGAAATCAAGTTGTACCCCATTATTACACTGTTAGTGGAAGCGAGTATGTAACTCATGATTTCAGACATGAGAGTTCGGGTCGAAACATAGTATTTATGAGAGAATTCATAAATGAGATACTTCTCATCCCTGACGGCTTAACACTAATTGTGCCCAACCTTACCTGGTAATATCTCATGATATTCAAGCAGGGCATTCATGGAACAGGAATTTAATTTAGTAGCTAAGTCATAATTTGGGGAAAAAAGGTCCATGTTGTTTAATGCGTTTCGAGATCATATAGTAAACATTCATGGAAGTTAAGTCTGAAATATTTGTTTGTAATTGTTCCCCTGAAAAATTGATATCTTTAGTGCTGAAGTTTCTAACATGATGCAGGTATTTATTTTTAAAGAGGAGGTGGCGCAGCATGAAGTTAAACAGGGAGATCAGGAAATGCATGACAGAGTTGGTGGAGGGGCGGAAGAAAATGGCAAAGAGAGATAACGACCTTTTGGGATCCATGCTGGAGGCCGACCGAAAAGAAGCTGGCAGTGGTGGTCTCTCCACTGAGGAGATTATTGATGAATGCAAGACTTTCTTTTTTGCAGGCCATGAAAGTACAGCAGTGCTATTAGCATGGACCTTCATGCTCTTGGGCATTCACCAAGAGTGGCAAGACCGTGCTCGAGCTGAGGTGCTTAAGGTTTTAGGGACTGAGAGGATCCCTTCATGGTCTGATGTCAACAAACTCACAACTGTAAGTGGATTCAGAAATTTTATTGCCGTTCTTTCTTTTCTTTGTTCTTGTCCATCGATAGTGTTATCTTGGGAACACTACCATTACCCCCAAATCTCATATTAGGAATTTTGTTGAAGCTTTTCAGTTTTGTGCACCAGTAACTTAAGCCAAGTCTTAGATTATGATTCTGCTTAGTGATTTTAAAACACCTTGAATGGAGTAAATTGTTAAAAAATGGTTGTAACTGTTGTTTGAGCTAAATCATAAACGGGAGAAGCTGGAGTTCCAATGTCTCTCAAACAGCATCCATACTTTATTTTATCTTATTTGTTAGTTTGTTGATTAATGTTTTGTGACTTCCTATTAGGATTTGAAGTGTAAAAGTTCCGGAAAAAAAAATAGAACAAGAAAAGAGAGAGCTCCTTATAATATTTAAATTACTACAATTGTACTTCATAAGAAGATCACAGTATTTTTAGAGCTAGAAAAGTGATGAAAGATTGCATGTTAAACTCAGCCTTGCAGCTCTTTTTCCTTTTGACAACAACGTGTTATTTCTCATAGGCACATGAATTTAGCTAGTCCAGGTCATAAACATAGATGGAGATACTTTGCTTTTCAAGATTAACAAGTGCATCAGATTTATTCTATAGTTTATTGTTCTGGCCACAGTTTTTTTAATGTTCATCCTTTTGTAGGTTGGCATGATATTGAATGAGTCATTGAGACTGTATCCTCCTGCGGTGGCCATTGTTAGGAAAGCTGTCAAAGACTGCAAATTAGGAAGTATTTGTATTCCAAAAGACACTCAAATCTTTGTCCCTTTACTCCCAATGAATCACAGTGAAACTATATGGGGTGATGATGCTGAAAAGTTTGATCCAAATAGATTTTCAGAGGGTTCTGAGAAGGCCTTGGGCTCTTTCTTTCCATTTGGGAAGGGACCTAGAGCTTGTGTGGGCCAAAAGCTTGCTTTGCTTGAATCAAAGATTTTAATGGCCATGATCTTACAAAATTTCTCCTTTCACTTGTCTCAAAATTATATCCACTCACCTGTTGTGTTCATAACTTTGTATCCCCAACACGGTGTTCCCATCATTCTCCATGCACTTAAAAGGTAGTGTTCTTTATGATACCAACTTAGAGATGGATGAAAACCCATATGAATTTTTGAAATGTATTACTTGATAATTTGGTCTTTTCTCATTTTGAATGCTGTCATATTAATTTTGTTTTCTTTGTGTATTTACACTTATTGGTGTTTATCATGTTAAGAAAGAAGCTACTGCACATCTGGCAAAAGAATATTCTGAGTGAGAGAGAAAATTTTTGGACAAAAGACTTCATATAACAATAAAAAATATTTTAATGAGTGAGACAGGCCCGAGGAAACGAGAGTACGATACAAGGTAAAAGAATGCATTTTCAAGAAAATGTTTTCTAGGAAGCCCAACGGGCCCTAAGGGAGTGGGAGTATGATACAAGGCAAAACACAAGTAGAGAACCTATTTAAGACCTTCCGATATAAATGGATGGCTAGATTATAGCTTGTCAAAGATTCACAAAAAAAAAAAAATAGCTCTACCTGCTCTCACCATGTAACTCACCTCCTATCCTCTCCACCAATCATTTCTCCCCACAAATTCTTGTTTCTAAGCCCTTGTCTCCCTTTTCTTCTGCAATTAGGAAACCATAAACAGGCTTCTCGAAGTAAGATAGATTTAGAGAATTTAATATGCAGTTACATCTTCTTTTCAGCATTTTCCTAATGGAATATTTCGCTCCTCTCTTACTATGCACTTTACCTCTCTCAACTGAACGATGGGAGTGTCATGGTGGAGACGCACCTCACTTAAAGATGATAGCAATTAATGTGCTCTCCCAGATATATTCTGGTACTAGATGTGAATGGAACAGAAGTACCTTTCAGTGGATACATACCCCCAAGAAGCAATCGGCTGACTTTCGAGAGGCTTCAATATCCTAGCTTCCTGGAGAATCGCACCCGACCTGACCCCTTGCTATTCACGGTGCTTCGGGCAATACAAACCTGATGACCCATTGCATCGGGTCATTAACTTAGTTGGTCACCAAACGGATGACTAAGTGACCTAACCATGGTTGCCGGCTAAGCCTCAGTTCCATAGTCTCAGGGGATGGCGACATGCAATCCCACTGGACTGCCATTCGACACACTTGACTTTCGACGTGAAGTGGCGGTGGACTCGGTGTCCGAATCCCACACCCTCATATTTGGGTCAAAGTACATCTCACTAAGCTAATCAAAACATCACAAAAAGACATGGGTGCTTCTAAATCGCTACCGGGTTAGGCAAAGTCATGGTTTCCTACCTAGGGGGTAAGCCTTTTTAACAAATGAGGTAGGGTAGCATGGTACGCCGACCTTTGGTCCTAACAGCTTTTATAAATGATTATGGATCCAAAGTATTGTAGGATATCCTTAGAGGCCGAGTAAATGCTGAGGGTACACTCCTATTGAGGGCCCACGATCTCAACTGCCATTCTTCTAGGTAAAAGTATTGTGGGGTGTTCTTAGAGGCCGGGGTATATACAAAGCGTGCACTCCCGTTGAGAGCCCACGATCCTAATTGCCCTTCCTCTAAGAACTAAGTGCCTACTCTAGGAAGCCTTAAGGCTAAATGCAGGTTTTCTGAAAAGCTATATTTGAAAGAGATTTTCCATTCGCGCTCGAGGGTGCAAAAGTGTAAGTGTGTAAAGCAACACAAGTGCACGTGAAAAGAGTGTGATAAGCAAGCAATAATAAGCGCAAACAAATAAATGACTACGATGTACTAGTCGTACATAACAATGTGCACTTTGGGTAGACAAGTCCATCAAAGGGCAATGAGAGTGAAGGGCTAGATGCCCCGACTTTGGGTAGACAAGTCCATCAAAGCGCAATGAGAGTGAAGGGCTAGATGCCCCAACTTTTAGAAAGTGTCAATTTTTTGAAAGTTTTAATAGGAATTCCTTTGGGGGCGTTTGTTTCGTCAGAAAGTTGTCAGTGAGGAAAAAGCTCGTGCCCAAAAATGCAATATATATGAAGCTGTCTTGTCACAAAAGTAGTATGCACAATGCGAAGATTCTTCACCCAGAAAAAGGAGGACCCGTGATGCGCATCTAGCCGCCTCCATATTTTTCCCACGAAACAAACATGGCAAAGTGGTAGTCTGGTTCGAAACAACTTTCTCATAGAGTTTCTTTCTTGGAAATAAGCGTGTTACCGTTGGATGAAAAGAGGTGAGTTCTAGCTTGGATCATCAAGACCTCTCCACAAATTAAAGCCCACTTATTGGTATCACGTTAGCGTAGTTATGCTGATAGCTATTAGAGTATGCATATCTATATTGATATACATCATTATGAATACATAATGATATATGTATATATATGGGTAGATATCTCTTAGGTGTCTTTTGATTATGATAAACTGAGTTAGTAGTTTTAATAGTTATCTAGAACTATTAGTATTTATTTTTAATTGCAATTAGTCGTATATTTAACACGGGTCTTGTAGTCAATAAATCGATAAAGAGAGATAATTCTCTACAGTATTCTAAAATAATCTTCTATGGGGGCCTAAGGCTCAGATATAAGATACACAGAAATACAGTTTCTTAACATACCAACGTGTGTAGAAGGCACTATACCGACGTGTGTAAAAGCCACCCGACGGAGTGATTTTTGGCATATAAAAAGTGGAAAAAAATAAAACAAGCAACAAATAAGAAAATTTTGGCGTATAAAGAGTGAAAAAATTAAAACAATCAGTAAACAAGAAAAATAATGCATGAACGAAAAGAACAACAGAGTTTTATGTGGTTCATCATCTATTGGTGAATATACAATCAGCAAAAAAAAAAACATGAAAAAATAATAATAATAATAAAATATTTTATAAATAAAAAAAAAAAATACAAAATAACTCTTACCCAAAAAACATAGAGACGTAGACTCAATCTCTCACATTTCCTCGACGTACGAGCCCCCAACTTTTTCCTCACTTTGTAGAGACTCACCTACCTTCCTAATCCAAATAGGACCACTCAAGATAAGCTTTAAGTCAGTTAATGACATCCCAAAACAATAGGAACCTTCCTAACTAACAAAGGCATCCGAAGATTATAGGAAAACCAGTCCCTTACTAACAGGGATTCAAGCCAAATCCCAACATTTTGTTGATATTGACAATAATGATATTTCTTTAACATGCAGATTCCTCAACTTAAGACAAAGAATTTGCCGAAGTCTTGAATATTGAGGTTTGGTTGCTTATATTGGCAGCTAAAAATAAAATTGGGACAAAGATGTTTGAACATCCAAACAGAGGCTAATGCTTCAAGAATCGCACTAGAGCAAGATATAACAATATAAAAAAAAGGTGTGGTTTCCATAAGGTTGCCATCTTAAACAATCCAACTAAGGTGCACCTTCAAATTTTATCGTAACATATAATTTTGATGTAAAATATTCTTACAATTATCTCAAAATCAATTTTTATATATAATTATAAAATTTTAAACTCAAAAATAGTTAAAATCAAGTATATGAAAATCTTGAAAATGGACGGTCTAGATAATGTGTTGCAAGATGTACTATTTATGAGACTCGAAATCCTTTTTTTTTCGTAGTCATACATCTCGATGTCGAGATGATCAATTGGAGGGTTTTTCAACATTAAAACAACCTTTTTCCGATGGATTTTTTAGGTGCATCCGTGGTTCTATATTTCAAGGTTGCAACCTTATATAAACTTTTTCCATAGAAAAATGGCTTGACAAGGCTTCAACCCTATCAAAGTAAGAAAAGCAACACCTTATAACTCATCCAAAATTACAATTTAAGTATTGGAAAACCTTTACATTGATCATCTCGACTTGAACGTTATGGTTGTGAAAAAAATTAAGATTTTAAATTCTAAAAATAATGTCTATTGTAACAAATTATCTTGACCTTCGCCTAAAAAAATAAGTGTTCACATATCCATAATATCTGCATCATTTTTTTAGTTTCAAATTGTATTATTGGTATTGGAAATTGATTTTAAAGCCATCCGAAAGTGCTTTCCGGACGAAGATTTGAGGTGATGTTTTATTTTGTTTTCATAAAGCCCAGGCCTTATCGAAACCTCATATAATAATATATTCTTCATGTCATTGTGAAGAGAAGACGAAGGCTCCGCAAATAATGAAAGAGACCAAGACATAAGGGGTGGCGACGCGGTGGGTCGGTTCCGGCTGGACTCACACCTCGCAACTGATCTGACCCAAAATTAGTATAAATACATATTTAAATTTTATATACATATTTAAATGTTATACATAAAAATAAGAATATATACGTCTTTAAATGTTATAACTAAAACATATAATTATATTTCTTTAAATATTAATTAAAACTTTATATGATAATTAATATATAATAATAACACTATTTAGGCCAGGTTCAGGTCGGGACCACATGAACCCAGAACCTATCCCAAATAGTGTTCGGATCCAATACTCCAATCCGGACAGTCCAATTTTTGGACCCATACCCAGACTCAGGTCGGGTTCGTGTCCATTGCCTAAGGACATTTATTTACTCCATAAAGAATACTACAATGATGGTCGGTAAATATATATACCTTTCAAAGACAGCGCAATTCAATGTGGTTTTACTCTGGCGGGGTGAGCCAACTCGGACTCGTCAAGTAACTGATTCGCCACCTTGGCAAATTTGAGTACCCTCAAGATTGGTGGTCCGATTTGGGAATCTAAAAAAAAAACTCAAAAAGTAAAAATTTTATTTGTAATACATGTTTATATTTTCTATCATTTTTGGCAAATATTGAAAGTACTTTGGCCAAGAATATTTATTTGTATATTTTCCCTTCTTTTTGAAGTATTTTAGAAATACCCTTGTCATAAATTGTTATTTTCAAAATCCCTTTTTTCACTACTTTTTTAATGTCATTTAGATATGGAAAAAATTTATATAAGATTACAACCTTAAAATATATAATTATAGATGTACCTCAAAAATCATCGGAAAAGGTTGTTTCTATGTTTGTCAACCCTCTAATTGATCATCTTGACATCGAGATGCATGAATAAAAAATAAAAAATAAAAAATAAAAGATTTTCTGTCCCAAAAATAGTTCATCTTGCAACACATAATCTAGACCATCCATTTTTAGGATTT